GAAAGAGAGAGATTTGAAAAGACTCTTGAAACTGGTGAGATCTTGTCCAAGTGAGCTGAGTAATTTTGTGCTATCTATTTAATGCTATAGTCTGTGTGTTAAATAATTTGAGCTCCCTTTATCAAAGTTTTATGACGCGAATTGCATGCAGCCAAACAAAGGGTAAAGTGTGCTAATAGACTCACTTACGTAGTGATTTACAGCGCCACAGGCAGAACTCCTTCAACTAGCCGGATTTTATCTAATCGCATCCTTATGTAAGTAGGCTTAGGAAAAGTTACCAGATGTCATCTTGCCGTAGCCAAACAGTAGGTATCTTAGCAGAGGTAATTGTGTGATAGTAATAATGATAATCGAGGTTTATCTCGGCTTTTCTCTCCGTGCCGAAAAAAAAAAACACTTGGAGCATTTACACCCCACACGTAATATGCATCGGCAACGCATGGTTAATCATTGCAAAGCTCTCATACTCTATAGTGTAGTAAACTAAATCAATCAATGTCTTGTCAACTTTACATCTGTATATCGCGGTACCATAGCCACCAGGGGCTTTACTTTCCTCAAATAGAGTGGAGTATGAAGTGGATCCGAAAGCTACCGAAAATTCATAACCCTCCTCGGCTAAATTACGCGTTGCGTATACAAAAGAAAAACGGTCTCCGCACATTGAAAATGCGGCTGCTCTACTTTACATAAATAGTTTTGACCTGCTGAAATATTCACCTCCCCCTTTTCTTCTAAGTTACTTTTCAATCTTGAACCATCTTAACGCAAAGTATTACTAGTAACCATGTCGTATCCATTCACCGGTAAGAATGTCAGTTTGAGCAAAGGTCCCGACCCCAAAACATCGATTCAAACTGAAAGAGAAGCTCAAAAATTCAACCCACAAGCTGTGAACTACTTTTTGGAGGGTTCCAAATACCGCAGTGAGTTGGTGCAAACCTTGACGCAACAAATGGAAAGAGACCCCATTTTGTTCACTGACGGTTCATACTATGACATGACCAAAAACCAGCAAAGAGAGTCCACTGCTGCTAAAATCAATAGATTGTCGAGATACTTGGAAGGCGACTCACCTGAAACTTTTATGAGAAGATTGTCGTTGCTTATGTTTTTCGATCCAGCTGTCGGTACTAGAATTGGTATTAACTTGATCTTGTTTCTCCATTGTGTTAAAGGTAATGGTACCCGCGACCAAGTTAAATACTGGACCTCCGATAAGTTCACCGACAAGATTAGAGGTATCTATGGATGTTTCGGTATGACTGAGTTGGCTCATGGTT